TGTGGATGCTGTGCAAAATGACAGGAATAAAGTTAGTCTGGATTCAGCATGGAAAGAAAACGTGGGAGAGGGAAGTTAGCACTTGGGAGTGAGCTTTCTCTTCAAAACAGGCTTTTGCTTTTCAGATGTTGTAGTAATGTTATACTTCAAAGATATTAAGTGCTATTCTATAGTTAGGTTGTGCCCTGACGGTGTGGAACCCCTATGTTACAAAACCTAAAATAGCCAGTTTTCTTCCCCAGACCTCAGGATGGAAGATTGCTGCTGCCACCAGAGGGACTCAGGAATACAACGGTAGGAGCCGAGCATCCCCGAACCAGCCGAAATTCCCAGCAAAGACATCTGACCTTTTGGGGCTGTCTTGAGGACTTCTCAGGTGCTGTGTTATCTGCTCCCATGACGGGGGTAAGAGGTTTACGCACTTTCTCCTCTCATCATGCTAATGGAGTAGATTATGAATTTAGTCATCCTGCCTGTTCTCCTTGGTTAATGCAATTGGGCAGCAAGACGTGAGTTATGTAGTGCACAAGGTACAAAACACTCCTAAAATCACCCCTTTTTCACTGGCTTCCCTGGTATTCAATCACACACCAAAAACGGCGGTTGGAATAGGAGTTAGAATATTAAGGATGTGCTTGCACTCGTGCTTATATTGTAATGTGGGGCTTTCGAGCATTTGTTGCAAATTTGGTTTAAAAAAGTGGGGAGAAAGATGGTTAAAAAATGGTGTGGCTTAAGGTGAAGTCTGCAAAAATTCAGTCAGGTTTAAATGGATTCTCCTGTGTCTGGTGAAAACAACCATTCACGCTTGTCCCACAAAGGACTGGTGTTCTCTTTTCAAGTGAAAGAGGAAAAATTGCCACTGCTGCAGCAGATACTACCTTAGGTTAAAGGACGCAAAGAGCACTCAGGATGAAACTGCATTTCTTTCACAGTCTGAGTTGCCTTCTTCTCTTTTCTTAATCATAAACCCCTCAACCCTCAGGGGTGCTGGAAAAGATTATCTAGTGATTAAACTAATTTCTTTCTTGTAAAGCACATGTGGAGTTTTGAAGTTACAAGCTCTGGCCCAACAAGAACAATGCTGTTGCCTTGCCTAAAATTACCATTTCTGTTTTGCGGAATCCTTCAGCAAAGTATCATATATAGTAAGTTTTATAAAAGCATTATGAACCACAGGATTACAGTGATTTGGGTATGATAAATGATCCTAGGGTACATACAGCTTGAATTCTTGGAATGTAGAAGAACAGAACCATAGGGTAGTTTGGGTTGGAAGGGACCTTAAAGCGCAGCTACTTCCACCCTCCTGCCATTGGCAGGGACACCTTCCACTAGACCAGGTAACAGCCAAAGTAACATTATTTACAACGAAATCCACACATTTTGCTCAGTTACAGCCTGACAGATTTTCCTGTTGTTACTTCAGCCTCCTGGCCTGGGATGCTTTGGATTTACCGTAAGTGACAAGACATAGGGAGTATGCGAAGTCCCATCTGGTTGTGTGTCTATCTCAATCTGCATACACTTCTGTGGCCTCTTTGGTTGAGGAGACAAGACGTGGTTTTAGTCTTATTATTCTGGGAGTTTATTTATCCTTTTTAGTGCTGGGGACAGGTAAAACCTCTCCCTCACATAGGAAATAGCCTGAGCTGCTTTACAGCAGTTTTGCATGGCCTGCACACAAGGAGATGTGCTTATGAATACTGAATCCTACCAAACCAACACCCTCCCCAAAATACTCTGGGTGAGCAGCGAGCAATGCTACCCATTACAGGTGACTGGAGAGGACTCTGTGCTGTAGAAAGCCTGCAGCAGTCCCCTTCCAAAGCCACCTAATTTGTTTGATTTAAATTGATTTGGGTTTGTTGCTAAAGGAAGACACAAAGTCTGTGTCCTCATCTCCAAAACATGAGCACACCAAGAAGAGTCAAGGCCCAATTACAGACAACAGGAGCTCAGTTAAAACATCTGCTCCTGCAGGATATTTATGGAGTGGGTCAAACCTACTGACTTTTGGCAGTTTAACTGGTCTGATGGGACAATAAGAGGGATGTTGTTTATGTAATTCTTATTTTAAATTGAGCTCTGATCCCCGGGAGTATGAGTGGCTCCTGAGGAGTCATGTTTGCGAAGGTCTGCACTGTGACATTCTCCACAGGCTGCTGAAGAGCCATCATTCATTACACACAAAAGCATCTTCTGCTTGCTGGCCAGTTAAACAGGCTCTCCTCTGCCCAGCCTCTTTGGGGGCTTGTCAGATTTACTGGTTCTCTCACCATAGTAACCCTGTAGGATAGGAGAGAGGACCAGTGCTGAGACAGGACTAGGATGCAGCACATACTGGCTGAAAAACCTTATGAGTGACAAATACCTAACATTTTGCCTTTCATCTGGATGCTTCTCCATCAACCCTTTGATGTTTAATGCTCTGATGATGTGGCATGGAAAGCACATCCCATACACACTGTGATGGTGAGCAGGGTAGCAGAATCACTTCTGGGGGCTGATGTCTTGGGAAGCATACCCCGAATCAAATCCTTCTGTTTGTTTATACACAACTTAGGTTACAAGTATAGATCTCACCTACTCTGCGTTTTCATGCCTTTTTTCACGACTTGTTTTCTGCTTCCTCTTCTTACTAATAACTATGTTTTTTATTAAAGCAGAAAGCGTATTCCCTAATACTCTTTTTGATACATATACAGCTCTTTCATCATTTGCTACCCCTTCCATACCTGTTAACAGATACCTGATATGCCTTGCAACTATTTCATGTATGGCCTTGTAACACTGTGGTGGCTATGTGGGCTTCCAAGGACCTTTCAGGGGCCTTGGCCTGAGCAATGGAACTCAAGACAAATCAGCACTGTGTCAGGGCAGGATGCACATCAGGGTGGGTTTTTCTTCCTATAGCCATAAGGAAATACAGTTTTCTCTCTCAGACGTGGCAAATGGCATGTGCGATCTGGAAGGGCTGCAGCCAGGATGTCTGTCCAGCCTCACCAGCATGCTTCCCAAGAGCAGGATGGCACAGCACACCTCACAGATGACGCATGTGCTCCAACCTTCCCACGCCACCTTTTGAGTTAAGCCTTATCTTTGTTATTCTTATATGGGAGTGACTTCCAGCCTCAGAAATGGGAAGCAAAGGAAAAGTAACAATGACTTCAGAATTCAGAATTAAAAAATGAATTAGTTCCTGAGAAGTTGTTCCTAAAAACTGCTGAAGCCTGAGTTCCCTGCCAATTCCCACCATGAACTGTGTGTTAGTCCCCGTCTTTCACATAAGGAAATGGGCTCCATTAGGCCTATTTGTTCTTCCCAGTTTGGTAGTCCACACAATGCTGGAACATGACAAAGCAGTCACCAGTGTTTCAAAGACAGTCCCATGATCACAAGTAATAAAAGCAAGGTGAGTTACTTATTCCCCTCTCCCCAAAACACACCCAAACATCTGCGTCTAGAAGAAGAATGCCTGACTCCTGGCACAGGAACGTGTGTCCCTGGTCTTCATCCAACATGTGCCCTGAAGGCTTTATTTTTCTGCTGTTAGTTGAGTGCATAAAATCCAGCATGTTGCTGGGCTGTGTTCTCTGCTCCCAATCCCAGGCTGTGCAGTTGGCACTTTGTGTCTCTGCTTTAGCACAAACATATCCTGAAGTTTGGTGTGTGACACAAGAAGATCACCCAAGGACACGGGAACACATTAATACTGCAGAGCTGGAATGGGACTCTCTAAAGCACACAGGGGTTGGAGTAAGCCATAAGAAAGTGGAAATGACTGTTCCTTAGGCAATTGCCAGTAGTCCCTGGGTATCAGTAGCTGCCAACAATAGTTTATGCAACTCATATCGTGCTTCACCTACCTCCAGAGCCTGTCCCTGAACATGAAATAGGAATACTGAACACAACTTCATCCTTAACGTGCATGAGCTCTAGAGAGAACAGCTTTGAACAGCAGCCTCTCCCCGGGTAAATATACCACCCAGCCTGGGGGAAGAGCCCATGCAAGGGGAAACCTGATGATGGTCCAGTTTTTGATCAGCCTTTATTTTATCAACTGAGGGTTTACAATTGTTTAGATGCTTACAGGCATCTCCAGTATCTGGTGAGGATTTTCTATGGGGAGAAAATGAGCAGAATACACTGAGGCAAAATGTTTCTGATCAAATGTCATGAATAAATTTATCCCTTTTATGATGACTCCCATGATACAGGATTCAGCCAATTTTCTTTGAGCCTCAGGTCTTTGAGTGATAGGATTATAAGACATTTTTCTTTCTTTTCAAGGCAAATTTTCAGTTTTTCAAGCCCTGTTGTACTGTTAAGAAAGGGACCAACTTAAAGAAAATCAGTGGCAAATTCAAATCACCTTAGGCAGAAACCCTAAAAAAAGTACAAGGCTTTTTTGTTTTCTTTTAATGTAATCCTGTGGTTTCTGAGAGCTTACCTTGTGGGTTTTGAATGCTTGGAGTTTGAAGTAGTGCTGCAATGAGTTTTAAAATAGAGACTTTAAGCTTGATGAAACTGTAGTGCAGTATAAAGTAATAGGAAAAGGAGCTTAAAGGTCTCTTTACACACTCAAAAAAGAGATAATGGCAATAGATAGGGCAAATCCAAGGCTTGCAGCTAAATTAAGCAATACCATGACAATTTCAGACCTTTGCAGATCTGACCCAGCTGTAGCTCAAAGACAGCACTGAGAAGCCACGCAAGAGGAAGGGTGTGCAGAGCTGGAGTTGGGCAAAACTCAGCAAAGAGTGGAAAGAGTTTGTGATAGAACCCAACAAGGTATCCACCTCATCTTCTGCACCCAAAACCAAAGTCCTGGGTGGTTGCTGGCTCCCGACAGGACCCCCCTTACAGCCCTAAGTCAGATGGAAATTTGGATGCATCTCATAGTACTTGGGTTCACACAACTTCTTGCACCTAACTGAAGTGACTGCCAGAAATGAAGTTTTAGGACCCTTCAGGACTAAGGGGTCCCAAAGCCCTACCTTGGCCAGACGCTCTGCTGGTCCTGGTGTCTCTGAAGCACCTTCTCTTCCTCACTTGTCCTTCAGTGTTGCCATGCCCAGGGCCTCCGAGCTGTAGTCGTACTGGTTGCTGGAGGACATGGACCGTCCCCAGGAGCACTGCAGGTTGGAGCCCCTTTTGCGGAAGGAGGATGTGAACCTGTAGAAGTTGCGGTGCCTGTTGCGCAGGTACTCCCGGTAGTTTTTGGTGAGCAGGGTGTAGAGGAAGGGGTTGATGCAGCTGTTGCTGTAGGTCAGGCAGGTCACCAGGTAATTAATGCACTTTTGGGTTTGGGTGGTGAGCTGGAGGGAGCTGCTGTAGAGTCGCACCAGTTGCCAGATCCAAAATGGCAGGAAACAGGCCCAGAAGACCAGCACGATGCTGAAAATCATGATGAGGACCTTCTGTCGGGGGGATCTCTTGCTCTTCTCTTTGTGGGGAGGGTTCTTCTGGGACTCTAGGTAGGTCCTGGCCAGGCGCGTGTAGAGGAATCCAATGATGATTCCTGGGGCCATGATGCTAGTGCTGAAGAGCACTGTCAGGTAGGTCCTGTAGGCGTCCACGCTCCAGGTAGGTGCACACATCCTCTTCACCTTGCCCTCTGCCTTTCCCCCCTCGGTCAGGGTGACCATCAGCATCATGGGCAGAGTAAGGAGCAGTGAGACCGACCAGACAGCCCCTGCTGTGACCTTCCGGTAGCCCCGTGACCTCTTCAGTGTGTCCAGGGGCCGGGTGACGGCCAGGTAGCGCTCGGTGCACATCAGAGTCAGGGTGAAGATGCTGGCGTGCATGGTGAGCAGGTCCAGGCTGAGCAGGATGCGGCACCCCAGGTCCCCGAAGTACCAGTCCTGAGCCAGGTAGGTACAGACGATGAAGGGGATAGTGGAGAGGTAGAGCAGGTCGGCCAGGGCCAGGCTGACGATGGAGCTGTACATGGGGGCGGCGCAGCGCGCCGAGTGGCACATCACCACCAGCGTGTACACGTTGCCCGCCACGCCGGCCACGTACATCACCGACAGCACCGTCCCGAAGGCCGAGGGGATGAGCAGGGGGCCGCTCCCGGGGCCGCCGCCGCCCGCCGAGGAGTTGCCCCCCGCCGCCGCCGTCCCGTTGGGCTCCATGGGCGGCGGCGGCGGCCCCGTCAGCCTCGCACCAGCCCCAGAGCTCCCAGCCCCGGCGGCGGCCGCTCCGCCCCCCGCGGGAGGTAGGGCGGTACCGGGCTGCCCCACGGGGAAGGGCCGCCCCCCGCCCCGCCGGGGCTCCTGCAGCGCGGAGCGCAGCGGGCAGGTGCTGTCCGGGGACAGCGCGGAGGGTGCGGAGCGAGCGGGGACCGCCGCCGATCCACCCTCAGCCCCGGTGGGGAGCCGGCGCTGGGGGCACACCGGGAGCGCCCCGTTCTCCCGGGTGTCTCTCAAAAGCCGCCCGGCAGATGCAGGCTGCGGGAGCTTCCTCGAAAGTTTTCCCGGCCGCTCTGCTATAATTCGGCTGTTCCCTGCCGGGTTTACGGCGCTGGCGACAGGACCCGCGGCTCCGCTTCAAGTCATCAGTCAGAAATCTCTGTGGCCAACAGGCAGAGCCAGTGTGCCCCTGGGTTTCTCGGGCAAGACAGCACACATTGTGTCAAACACAACCGGGGATACAGCGAGCCGGAGAAGGATGCAAAACCGGGGCTGAAAGAGACGCGCTTTTTCTTTTATTTTCGTGGAAATAGCTCTTCTCTTGAATTTTACCTTGAAAAGGGTGGCGATGTTCTAGCGAGATTTACATTTGAGCTTTAGTGACAGCTGATTCGCCTGGAGAGGGGGAAGTTCAGAGTGTGATGAATGAGGTTCCTACAGAGACAGCTTTTCCAGTTAGGTGGGAAATTTGGGGGCAGTTGCAAAATCAATGAGCACCTTATATTTCAATCTTATTTCAGAGAAAGCAGAGATTAAGGCAGCCCATAGTCAAAGGACAGAGTGCTGAATTTCCCCAGCTCCTATTGATTTCCAATAGGAATTAACTGGCTTTTCCACCTTCAAACATTTCTGCTTAAACCAGAGTGCTAAAACGACTGCGATGTGTTTATTTGCTTGTTTTAATCCCTCCTCAAAGTGCTTTTGTGCAAACTGTCATCTAATTCTCTGTAGCATGTTACAAAGTGCTGAAACTTTTGTTGGCTCACAGGAGCAGGATCCAGCCCTATAAAGGTATTGTATTGGATACTGGGCTGTAATTTGCCATAACTTTAACAGGCACACATGTGTAACTCTGCTTTCCTTCCGTGTCTCTTCCAAATACTGAAGGCTAGATTTATTTCAGTGGCTGGCTCAAGCATACTGTGAATGCTGGGGAGGGAGAAGAAGCTAAATTGAATTATTGTCAGGCAGGGATCTGCTTTATCAGATTCAGCACTGACAAAGTTTAGATGCAGGCGCTGAGCTGGAAATGTTTTTCAGCTGGCAGCCCCGCATTCCTTCACAGCAGCTGGACCAAGCAGCTGGGAATGCAGGCGGATACTTTACCAGGGCCAAATCCTGCCTGCATGGCAGTCAAGGGGATTGACTGCCACAGACTTCGAGTGAGATCCGGGCTTGGCATAAGTAGCTCATCTCTGAGAACTGGGTTGCACGCAACTTTTGCAGTCCTGTCTCCTTTTTGTTTTGAACTTGTTCTCTGTGCTGCTTTGTTTTCTGTCATCATTTACCAGCCAGGACAGAGGGCAAAAGAGAGCAGAATAAGTAAATTTGTTGTTTGTCATGGTACCTGCTTTGTTTTGGGTGATTACACGACTTGATAGAGATAAGCAGTGTGATAGTTCTGAACAGAGAATGACTTAATTTGTTTAGTGAATACCTAATTTCAACTTCCCTTCCTTCCTTCCAGCAGAAGAGCTTTTAAATGGGCAACTGTTAGCATTAGTGAGTCCACAAGACACTTGTTTTCTTAAGCATGTAGGACACGTATCCATGGGAACTTACTCCTATTAAACTCTTAAAAGATAGTTTGCTGCCTGGAGTCGTTTTACAGCAGAGCAAAGACTGTTCTCTGAGCAAGAAACACTTCTCCCCTCCAATGCTCTGCTCTTGCCATGCACGGAGCCTCTTCCATACACCCGCAAGAACTGACATAGCACTTGGTGCCTGGTGGAATTTGGCCTGGAGCTTATGACAGCCAAGATCAATCAGAATTAGAAAGGAGGAGATGCAGGAGTCCAGAATACTGATGTTTCCCATTTGTCTGTGTACACAAGATACACATTTTTCAGTAGTGTGGGTGAAAGCTTCCAGAAGAAGTGGTGAATTTTCCATTTCTCCAGATGTCTAAGTAAAAGCTGAAAGTGCCTTTTTGGAAGATGTATTTTAATCAAATAGAAATATGGAGCTCACTGCAGAATTACTGTCAGAATAAGACCTCAGGGGCATACGGCATACAAACCCAAGTCATCAAGGATCAAATTGTCTTTTATGAACGTCAAAATCTGTTAGTCCCTGTGTGTTTTTTCTTGTAATAGCAGAAAAATATTGATATGAAAATGATTAATAATGTACTTCCTGTGCAGAATTTCCTCCCCAGAGGCATTCATACTAATGCACAAAACCATGCCCAGCCATCTTAAAATATAGCTCCAATTTGCATTTTATTGTCTGTTTGGAATAGGATTTTTTTTTTCAGGTGCTTAGTGCCTAATTTTAGAATTTTCTAACAAAATTGTCTGCTTATTAGGAAGTAGATAATAAGAGTCCACATGATGAGGGCTGTTTGAGTAGCCATGTCCAATGTCTATTTTATAAGGCCCTTGGTTTCCTCAGTGAATAGCTGGTACTCTATTGTTTCGTTATGAAGGTCAGAGTATCTGTGGTGGGCAGCTGAAAGCTGTTGTCTTGGCAAATTGAAAGACAGCTCTCATTGCTCTGCTCAGCTGTGACAGGCTTCAAAACTGAAGTGCTGGCTGGGTGGAAGAGAGGCAGTGGGTGTGCAGAGGCAGAGCCTCCCTGTTAGGGTTTGTCATTGTAAGCTGTTGTCCTCCTGGAGTGCTTTCAGTGTGGAATATCATTGTCGAGAGTGAATTTTGCAGTTCAAGGTAGGGAACATGTGAAATTGCCGCCTTTGTGTCCTTCAGCATATCTCAGCTGAGAGCACACTGATATACGGATCCAGCCTTTGGATGAGATTGCTTTTAGTCGTGCTGCTCTGCCTGCCCAGGTGAGCACTACTGTTTCTTGGGATGTTCTTGTGCCCTGTCACTGTGTGGCCAATGCTTTTCCTGTTGGGTTCCTACTCGGCAGGAAGTGAAAAGACTTGACTGATCACTTGGCAAAGCATCAGGAAAGTATTCAGCTTTTGCCAAGTTCAGAAAGGCCTTGATACAGCATCCACGTGAGAAAGGCAGAGACTGAGAAGCACAAGGGTGAGGTTTGTTAGATCCCAAACACGTGCTGTCAGATGAGATCCATGCATTTATTTCTTAAGCCTAAACTTAGAGGATCAAAGTTATCATCTGTTAGTTCAGAGCCTGTAAATGGAATGTAATGTTGTAGTGGAAGTGGATGACAAAGAGGTATCGAAAGCAACTGCAGTATAATATCCCATGGGATGCCCAGAAACTGGTTTGGCTGCATTGCTTAACTTAATAGCATGTGCCGTATAGAACCTTTTCTCGGGTTACTAACACACTAATATATAATCTCTACAGCTTGGCAACTGAATCTCATTGGAACAATGTTTGTGCCCTGCAATAATATGCAGAGGCCTTCATCTCTCTTCAAAATCGTTTCTGAACAAGGGTCACTTAGTGCAAAGGTTTATTTAAAACCATGGACTGTGCACAGCATAACCCACCAATCTCAGTGGAACAGCTTCAATCTGAAAAAGCTAGAAGCAAAAGCAAATTTGATCCACCACTTCCGAAAGCTTTTTGTTAATACATATGTTTATATCTATCTTACACAGTTGAATATGTCCTTCAATTTGACTTTACATTTACACTGTAATTTAAAGTTCGAGCTCTCCCTCCCCACTCAGATGTTTAAGAGGCAAGCATCCTAGCACTGGAGGAGTGACTTGAGAGAATCTGAATGCTCTCCAAAATCTCTACGGAAGACTGTGTAACAGGTTTCAAGCAGTGTTATTTCAGGAATGTAATTGAGTGGGTTTTTAAAAGCCCTCCCAGATATAAATAACATAGGAGGGACCTGTTTTGGTACCTCTTAATCACAGCGTTCATGAGCAAGTGCATTGCTCTCTTGTTCCTGTTACCATGTGTGAAGAGTAGAGTCACTGCCAGCACAAGGTCTGAGACGCCACATGGATTTGCACCCGTGGAGAATCTGGCCAGTGGCACACTGCATGCTTACTATAGGAAGGCAGCATCAGGCTTGCCGAGTCCAATTCCATATAATTGCAAGCAAGAGATCAAAGGCTTTGTCCTTGGTTTGTGCAATAGAGGAACAGTGTAAATTGTGGGCTATTACAGTAACTTTCATCAGTAAGGGCTCTGGCAGGGTTTTTAGGATCTTCTTGTGTTAGAGCATTTGAGATCATTTTACAATGGAAAAAAATACATGTTAATAACCCCAAGTCATTTCCTGTGGAAACTCAAACCAGTGTTACTCTTAGATTTGAACTCTTTCTTCCCCACCTAAAATGCAGAATTGTACACTGAAAAACAAAAAAACCCCAAACCCCAATATCCTTCTTCTCCATGCACATGAGTAGAAAGGAGACAGTACTGGCTCCTGGAAAGGCTTTTTGCTGTTACGCAACACAGCATGTGCACACTCCCACATGTTGCAGGGTTGGTGCCAAACAGCTGGCAGAGATCTGACCCAAAGAGCACAGGTACTGCCAGGGACAGCAGCGGCTCTGATTTGGCAATCTGGGGTACTTTTTATGTGGCTGAAGAAGCTCTGGAAGTAGCATGCTCAGTGCAGTGTTGCTTTTGGTACTTGATTTATTTTTTCTTCAAGGTAGGAAGGCTTTAAGTACCATTAAATATCCCACTCTACTGATGGAAAAATTATAGCATTTATATCTGCAAATTTCTCCCCAAAAGATGGATCATCTCCTTCTACGGTCTAAACTCCACCTGGAGGAGTATGCAAAACCTACAGCATGCTTTCATCCCAGCCGTTCAGCCTTTTGTTAATAAAGGGCTTTATATTAGAAACTGTCCTGTATTTC